GGACAGGACCAATGTCATCTATAAGATCCCCTGCAGAGACTGTGAGAAACACTTCATCGGACAAACAGGAAGGAAACTAACAACAAGGGTACACGAAACCAACTGTCTACAAAAAGACACGACCAATACTCACTCATCTCAATCCACATGGATAAGGAGAACCACCAATTTGACTGGGACAACACCAAGATCCTGGGACAAGCTAAGCAGAGACAGGCACAGGAATTCCTCGAAGCCTGGCACTCCACGAAGAAAGCCATTAATAAACATAAAGAACTCAACCCCATATACACGCCACTATGAAGGAAAACTGAAAGTGAGGCAATCCAGCTCAACGGACTCCAGAGTTTAAAAACCAGGGAAAACACACCAACGCTTCATTGGAGGCTGTACTGATGATGTTACCCAGCACGGTAATGAAACGTCTGTGGAACAACAAACCAGCTCGGCGAGCCAACCAACCTCAATACTCACAACCCGAGCTACAAATCTACTTCAAAACCTTAGAGACTCAATTATTTTAGTCACATTGTGAATGCACCTTCCCTGGCCATTGAGTTCTGAGACAGGACTTACACCTTTCACAATCTCAGAGTGTTACAAAGAGCTTGACAGCCACTGAAGTATTTTTGAAGTGCAGTCATTGTAGAAAATATAGCAGTTAATTTTCAGACAATTTGAAGGTTCTTTCCATCCTCCAAAAGAAGAATGAAACTGTATTCTGAAGTTATATTTTTATTTCCAATAAAAAAAGTCTTAACACTACTTCAATGTTACATTAACAGTAATAATAATTCACATTAAATGTACACCTGAGTTTCATAACTATAGTTTACCTAAGTCCATTTTAATCATATTTTGAAAATATCTAATTAGATTTCTTTCTTGTAATCTGAAGTTTTAATTGATCAGCTTCAGGGATAAGGTCATTAGCATGATATTGCTTTTATGATGTTACATAGTCTGTAAATTAATCTGACAAACTGGGTAGCTGTACCCGTAAAAATACTCTCCAATATTAAGGTCCAAGCATCATTTGGCCACACAAGCTACCTTTCCAAATGAAGTGAAATATCTTTTAACTTTATCCTCATGAATTTCAATATTTTTGTTCATTCAGGGATGTGGGTATCGCTAGCAGGGCCAGCATTTAATGCCCATCCATAACTGCCTTTGAGAAGGTGATGGTGAGCTGCCTTCTTGAACCGCTGCAGTCCATATGCTGTAAGTTGACCCACAATGCTGGGAGTTCCAGAATATTGGCACAGCAACACTGAAGGAAGGGTGATATGTTTCCAAGACAGGATGGTGAATAGCTTGGAAAGGAACTTGCAGGTGTTGGTGATCCCATGTAGCTCTTGTTCTTCTAGCTGGTAGTGTTTGTGTGTTTGGAATATTCTGTCTATAGAAGCCTTGGTGAATTTCTGCAGAGCATCTTATAAACAGTAAACACTGCTGCTAATGGGCATTGGTGATGGAGGGAATGGATGTTTGTTGATGTAGTGCCAATCAAGCAAACTGATTTGTCCTGGGTGGTGTCAAGCTGCTTAAGTGTTGTCGATGCTGCATTCATCCAGGCAAGTGGGGAGTATTGCATCACAGTCTTGAGTGGACAGGCTCTGGAGAGTTAGGAAATGAGTTATTCACCACAGAATCCCTAGCCTCTGACCTGCTCCTGTAGACATAGTATTTATATGGCTAATCCAGTTCAGTCAATGGCAACCACCAAGTTGTTGATCATGAAGGATTTATTGATTGTAATATCACTGAATGTCAAGTGACCATGATTACATTTCAATGGCAATTGCTTGGCACTTGTATGGTGCAAATGTTAATTGTGAGTTTTCAGGTCTTGCTCGATTTGGCCATGGACTATATTAGTATCTGAGCAGTCACAAATGGTGCTGAACATTGTGCAATCATCAGTGAACATCCCCACTTCTGACCTTATGATGCAGGGAAGGTCATTGATGGAGCAGCTAAAGATACTTGGCCTAGAGCACGACCTTGAGTAACTCCTACAGAGATGTCCTGGACTTAGGCACTAACTATGGATTTTTAGTGAACAAGTTTCTCATTGGGATCAGAATCATCTTCCAAGTTACTACCTCTTCTTTCTATCTTTACTCTAAACTTATCTCTGGCCCAGTTTAACTTCCCCATCTCTTTGGCATTCAAGCTATTTTTAATGCCATCTCCCTTTCCATTTCTCTCTGATTATCTTTGTCCTCTCTTTGCAATTCAAGCTCCCTTATTTCCAATTATCTTATACTTTCTTCTTCCTTCTTCCTTCCTTACCATTGCACTTTTATTGTTTTTGTCTCATCTTTATTTCTCTTTCTTGCTCTCTCCTTGTAACTCAAGTTTCTTTTCCATTTCCAACTGAATCTTAGTTAATTCTAGCTGAGACATTTCAATGCCAAGTTTCCCCCCTTCCAATTTCAAAATGTTCGGTAAAACATTTTAAATACCTCCCCCTTACAAGATTCAGCTTTTATTTCTATCTTTAATATAACTGCTAACTCTTTCAGTTTAACCTTAATCATAGATTTAAGATAATTCATTGTCATGTCATATACTCCCACAAAATTCTTAGCAACACACAAAGACATTTTCATAGTCCTTTCATTACAGTTGTTTCAACCAACTGTAAACTACTTCTGCAAAAATGTGCCATTTTGGTTAATGGTTATGCTAACACTAAAACGAATCGCAGGGAATCAGAAAGCACTTTTCTTTAAGTATCTTGGTGTGAACTTCAACAGTACCAACTTGCTAAATGTTGTTAATATTTCCACATGTGGCTCCACCTTCGTTTGTAGAAAACTAATAAACAGATTGTTTCATGATAACAACTATAATCATCACTGGAAATGTCAGATGTGTTTTGGTGTTGTTTTGTAAGAGGTTGTTCAGAAGCTGTTATTCATTCAGAGATTGGTTTGAGTAAACTGATCCTTCCGTTCACTGGCATTGGCTGGCTGAAGTATGTGCTCAATGAAGTGTCAAATCAAACAATTAGTCATCGATTTGCAGTGAATCTCTCTGTTCGACTGGGAGTGACAGACGTCGGGGCTCTGCTATCCTTTACGACCCTCCACTTGATCTATGTGAAGTTTGTTGATGGTACCATATATTCCCTTTGGTGAGATGTAGATAACTTTTGGAGATTTTAAAATAACTTTAAATCTCGTTGCTGTAGTCTCTGTGGCATTGATTTTTACCTATGTGCTCTGAGGATTGACTAGAATAATGCAGTATAATGGAACCGATTTTACTCTACACACAGTGAAGAATAGTTCCCCTTTGTAGGGAAAGATTTTCCTTCTTCATATTTGGAGAGCATACGGAGTTTTGTATTGTTTGTAGCTGGATGCAACTATAATCTGCAGTAACTCAAGAGAAGACTTTAGACACAGCCAGTGAGCCAAATTGGTTAAAGAGGTTGGAAAGCATTGCCGTACCAGATACTTTGTATACACGCAAATATTGCTTCAAGAAGACACAGATCTGTGAAATTATGAGCAACACAATATGAATTTATCTAAATGTGAATATTGCAATTCCAACAAGATGCCTTTTCAGGGTGAAGAAATTGTTACTGTACAATTCTCTGCAAATGCTTCCCATCCTGATGACCTTCGTCTTCAATATAATGTAATTCAGGCATGGATGAATGCTATGGTGCACTCCAAAACAGACATTTTGATGATTCCTCTTGTAGTCTGTCTATTTGCCTCACTTTTGGCAACTCCTCTGGTCCTGTTGGCCATCTTTTCAAACAGCAGCCTTCGTCAGGAGACCAGGTATCTGCTACTTGCCAATACTTTGGCTAATGATTTGATTTATTCAATACTGAACACCTCCATTGATGCCCTTAATGCCGCAGGTGTGGGAATGCCTAAACTTGTTTGCGAAACGCTCTTGTATGTGCTAACAGTGGCTTATTGTAATGGGATCCTGACAGTCACAGCAATGGTGGTGGACACTTATGTGGCTGTGGGTTGGCCTCTTCGTTACACCTCACTTCTACCACACACCCGAACCCTTAAAATCATCGTTTGTATATGGATTATCTCTGCTCTCGCACCATCCATCGTCTACATAATAACACTGGGAACTCAACAGAATCCATTCTCCACATTGTCAATTTGTATTTTACCTTTGATACTTGTGCTCTCTGGCCTTCATTCGTCTCTGTCAAAAATTTATTACAGTTTCACAGTAATCTACTTTCTAATATGTTTAATGCTGATCTTCAGTTGCTATGTCATGTTATACTGCAAAACAAGGTCGTCAGGAATATGGGCTGGAAACTCCAGGGCTAGACAGACCTATGTCATCAATTCAGTGCTGTTCATTTTTTATTTCTTTCCGTTGATTGTACTGGTGACTGGGGGTGCACTCCAAGAACTGCATCTGATTTCCTATATGACGGGACTTTGGATCACGCTGTCAATGGCAAATATGCTTATGATGTTACCCAAGGCAATTTCTCCGTATGTTTATGCGTTCAGGTATCGAGAAGTCACAAAAACAATCTGGTCTTTATCGATGCTAAGGCATGTTCGACGAGTAAGTCCAACTGGTTAGTGCGTTAGACCCAAGCAAATTGGCCAGTGTTCGACTTCATTAAGCAAAACCTTCTTTTATCGGTGAAAATAGTCAAAGGATTATCTTTGTCTTTAAGATTCGTCTGGGGAAATATCCTATAAACTGGCTGCAAATACACTTACAAAATAGAATTCAACTTACGAATTGAAGGCAGGGAATTTAACAGTCTTTTTTTCACACAAGTAACCTGTAAAATATTGCTGTAAAGGCAGCAATGTTACTGAAGCTTCTCGTCTTATATTGACAGGACAAATGCAATTACGCTAAATTTTAAATGATCACCATGATTTATAGAAAAGATTGCTGATTGGTTAGCAGGTCGACTCTAACTGAGCAGGCACTTCCATGGAGAAAGTAATGTGCACCTCTAAGCTCACCAAACTCCCTGGCAGTTGAAAATAGACCTTTCCAGCACCTTTTTCTGTTGTGATATAACTTGTTTGAAATTTGGCATTCTTGTATTTCTCCTGAAGAGTGTGAGATGGAAACCTTTGATGACATTTATCTTTCCAGCAATACTCAGGTTCTGCACTGCCAAAGGAAGTTGCAAAGTTATTATCCCCAACACAGCTCCAGAGAGGAAGTGTTCAGTTTGTTGTTATTAGATCATGACCCTTCAGATTTGTGTGATTCCCCCTTAAGAAAACTAAGGCTGTATTTGGTAAAAAAATTGAACCAACCTCTCTGGAAAACCTTGCAACAGTAATGCCTGGTGAGAGACAGGAAAAGGCACAAGCACTTTTAAAGTGGGCCTCTCAGAATTGGCAATGTTCTTTTTCTTTGCAATCTTTCCATTTCAACCCAAAGAAAACTTTTGTTCTTCAATTCTTCTTCTGCCACAATGCTTAGGGGCAACTGCAATAAGTGTTCTTGCCAGTGGACAGAGAGTCAAACATTACAAATTAAGTTACAACAACAATTCAGGCAGTGGTATGAATGCCACTTAATTGTAAGTAAGTTAGCTCATTTGGCTGGAGAACTGATGTGTGATGCAAGATGATGCCAACAGCAGGGGTTCATGAAGGCCTACCATCACATATTGCCCCACACTCATAGAGTGGTATCCCTCAAGCTATGTGTGACTAATTGTCTATCTCTCTCCGATGGAGAGATATGCCCATGGTCCTTTGCAGTGTATGATTAATCTGAGAGGGAAGCCGTCCCACATACCACTTTTTTAAAATTCATTCATGGGATGTGGGTGTTGCTGGCTAGGCCAGCATTTATTGCACATTCCTAATTGCCCAGGGGTAGTTAAGAGTCAACAACATTGCCAGACCAGGTAAGGATTTTGCTGACATTAGTGAACCAACACAACCTCCTCCCCCAACATAATCAATTCGTGGTCATTAGACTCTTAATTCCAAATTTTTATTGAATTCAAATTCCACCATTTGCCATGGTGGGATTCAAACCCAGATCTGCAGAATATTACTTGGGTCTCTGGATTAACAGTCCAGCAATAATACCACTAGGCCATCATATCCCCATACTCACGTGAGGCAGGTTCAGTCAGACCCAAAAATCCAAGTGAAACATAATATCCTGCAAAAAGTTTATTCAGTTCAGCACTCCACAGCTAACAATTGCATCTCAGAACAGCAAGGTGATTAGCCTGGCCACATTGTTCATGAGCATGAGGTTGTATTAGCTCTGAACACCATTAATCACACACATAAGCATAAGTTATTTAGTAACTTGCCTTTAAAAGATCTTGACAAATTGCTTAAAGTGGCAAAAAGATAAGCTTACTTTCTGGAAACTTCTTTAGTTAATACTCAGCTATCATCAGAGGTAATTTATAGTGATGTATTGATTTGTCTATGTAACCTCTGATACTTGTTTTGTCAAAGGAATCTTTAGTTATTTTTATGTTTACACATGTCAATTAATCACTTGTTTACTCAATTTTGTGTTAGCAATTGTGACCATATGTCAATTAATCACTCATTTACCCAGCTTTGTGTTAGCAATTGTGACCAATAAATAGTGTTTAGTCCATGAGTTTTGGTGTGTCTCCATCCTTGACAAATTGATGAGAAACATTTAACTCCCTCAGTTAATAGTTTGAAAACACCACATCAGTGAATTGAATTAATTTTGATCTGGACTGGGTTACCCATAAGACCATTTAACAAGCTGGATCATCTTTCGACCTGTGCTGAGAGATAAGCCCTAACAGTTCTTTAGTGAGGAATTTAAGGAGAGAGCTGACAATTTTCCCAGCTTCTCAACATGTTTATCACATCACTGAAGACCAGCTTTCTTATCCTCCACTGTTACCCTGTAACACTACTGCTACATGTTGGCGAGGGAACAACCATCTCTAATAAGAGACAATCTAACCAGATAGGTACTTAATAGTGGAGCATCACATTTTGTGATGTCACATAATTGTCTTAAATGTTCTCACTTGTCTGGTCTGGAATCTGTGTCATAGTACAAGTGCAGCACGCAACCCCCCAACCCCCAGAAAACATGGGAATCCTTTTCTGACGATGTGCATTGATGCATACATGCAATTCGTCTAGTCCAGTTACAGTCATCTCAACTTGGTGTGTATCTTCACGCTGCCATCTGCAATCCCTTTTCACAAACGGATGTATATAATTTGTCATAGATGTTATCTGGCATGATTTCTTCATTATCCAAGTCAACAGCTGTTGTAACTGGTTGTGGTTGATGCAATTCCAATATCTCATCTTTTTTTTTGCAGGACTTGATCATTGTTCATTGCAATGTCACATGATCTAGGTTGGGCACAATGATGTGGTATCTTTCCCTGAAAATTTGTTGGACTTGTGTGTTTTGTCTTGGTTCATCTTGGAATAACTGTCTGTATGCTCACTGATCATGTTTGTGTATCACTTTCTCCTTTCATTCAAAAATTGTGTGGTGTACATGTGATTTTGTTGATGAGAGTGTGGTTATGTAAGACTCTTGTTTCCCAAACATAAGATTTGCCACTGGAGGGAAACCATTGCTTAGAGGAGAAACCATTGATTTAACATGACTTTCTGACAATCTTGGTGATCATTTTACATGAGTGACCCTGGATTTTACAGTAAGAAGTGTGCCTTCCACAAGACTCTTTCATTGAGGGTAGTGAGAGGAAGATGTAATATGTTAGTACCCCATTTCCTGCACAAGTCTTGAAAGAATGTACTAGTATACTGTGGACCAAATGTACTGAAGATGGCAGTCAGTGTGTCAACAGACATTGCATTTGTGGTATCTTTGAATTGTTGCTCAAAAGTAAATTTGCTGAAACAATCATCAGAATGTAGTTGTGTCCTTTATGTAGAGAATATCAGTCACTATCTTGCTGCACAGCATGGAAGGAATTTCATTTGAGGGAGATCATAGAATCGCTATGGTATGGAAGCAGGCCATTCAGCCCATCAAGTTGACACCACCTCTCCGAAAAGCATCTCACTCAGACCTATCCCCCTGACCTAACCCTGTAACCCTGTATCCACCATAACCAACACCCCCAACCCACACATCCCCGGACACTACAGGCAATTTAGCGTGGCCAATCTATTTAACTTTTGCATCTTTGGACTGTGGGAGGAAACCGGAGCACCCAGAGGAAACCCAAGCAGACAAAACAAGAGTGTGCAAACCCCACAAAGACAGTCACCCAAGTCTGGAATCAAATCAGTCCCTGGTGCTGGCAGGCTGTGGTGCTAATCACTGAGCTACCTTGACGCTCCACCATGAGATTGTTGAGTTTGATGGAGTTCACATCATTCATTTGCCTTTATTAGTTGATTGATGTCCCTATTAAATTAATTTTAATAGAGTCACTGGCCAAGCTCTTTGTTTCTCTCTGCGTGTATGTGACCTATATTTATACGGTCTAGAATGTCTCAACTAAGAGTTTGTGGAAATATATTCTCTTGAAGAATACTTTCTAGGAGAGTCCTAATTTTTCCCTGAATGACCAGAAAAAGTCTACTAACTCGGGAACCTAATGGATATGTCCAGGCCACCTGCTGATGATGATCTTTTTGAGCTGCTGTAGCTGGCCAACATGTACTGTAGCTTGCTGTATCTGCTATGTTTGGCTGTAATCAAAATGCACGAGATTGACTTTATGTTAACTTCTGGTTCAAATTCAATAATATCCATTTATGGGTCTAAAACAATATCATTGCTCTTAGAGGGTTTTGAAGTTGAGCTAAGACCATCACAAATGGTCAGTTTGGAACTTGGGTTTCGAAATTGTACCCCTGGATTTTCGTAAATATTTGGTGGAATTTGGAGTGTTGTGTGTCGTCTTTTTCCCCTTATCTGAGGAGGGATGGTCTGGCTATAGAGGGAGATCAAAAAAGTTTACTAGACTGATTCCTGGGATGTCAGGAATGATGGATAAAGAGAGTCTAGATTGGTTAGGACTATATTCACTGGAGTTTAGAAGAATGAGGGGGGACCTCATAGAAACCTGTAAAATTTTAACAGGACTAGACAGGGTAAATGAAGGAAGGCTGTTCCTGATGACTGGTGAGTACAGAACTAGGGGTAACAGTCTAAGGGTATGGGGTAAGCTGTTTCAGACTGAAATGTGGAGAAATGTCTTACCCAGAAAGTGGTGTGCCTGAGGAATTCTCTGCCACAGAAAGTGATCAAGGTTAAAACTTTGAATGTTTTCAGGAAGAAGTTAGATATAGTTCTTAGGGCTAAAGAGATCAAAGGGTGTGGGAAGAAAGTGGGAACAGGGTATTGAGACCTGGAAATCAATATTTCTTGTATTGATCACACCATGTTGTGCCAGTTTCTTTAATGTAGCTTATGATATTTATGCTAGTGTCAATGTTGGCATATAGCGCATGTTGTCCATTTGGAATATATAACTTGGATGGGGGTAAAGGCTTCAATTTTTCTGATCGCATCCATGTGGAGCGTCAGGTCTGACTGGGGTTCTTGAGCAGTAAGATTACAGTTACCTCTTGGACACAGTTGACGTGTTTGTGTGT